GCATTCTCTGTCCAAAACAGAGCTGCTGGTCCCAAGACCAACCTCTTATATTTCGCCACGCTAACACGCATACATAATAAGCATAAATTCATTAACATAAACCCTGATCACTAATGTTACATTGGTAAATCAGATTGTTTATAAGATTTAACCAATCATAAACACTTTCGTTAGTATAAAGCATGTTGTTAATCTGTATAATCGCAGCGCGTGTTCGAATTTAACATAAACAATGTATTTTACTTGCGTTGTACGCGTTCCATATCGAACAGGACGCGGCGCGACGCCCACGCCCTTTATTATGATCTTGTCACAGCAAAAGGGATACATTGTGATCGAAAATGTGATAGTGATAGGCAGCGCATTTGCCTGCAATGACGAGGTTGTTGCTCTGATTGCCAGTTCGAATCACGAATATAATTTAGGTATATGTGCGTTTTCTTCTGCATGTTAAATTATTGATATGCGCAATATTCATTCAGTTTATAAGATTTTTTTTTAAACACAGTTTTCAGATTTCACATTTTTTTTTAAATCACCCATGAAAGCCCCTCATGTTTAATACATATACTTAAAACACTGATTTTTGTCCTGAAGTGACAAGCAAATTCCTCAGTGATTTCACCGGGCCCCAGTGATTTGTTGTTTTCAGATTATTAAGTGCCGAGGCGTCAGATCGCTATCGTATAGAAGGAGGGTTTAATCGAAACACTCTTTCGTTCACTTAAGCGGTTATGTCCAATACACACTGCTTGAATGCGAAATAGTTCTACGATAATTAGCTTCACAAACACTGTGCAATAAATTATTATTATTTCATCAAGATTGAACAAACATTTTGTACATGCTTTTTTGCTTCATTTAATTTATCGTCTAAATTTTAATATTTCATTACTCAATCTTGATTTTATTTAAGTTATAGTCGTTTTTTTCTATTTTCGAATTTATTTTGTAGGTAGCGATTCATGACATAATGGACTTTTTTAGTTTTTAATGTGTTACGCTGTTTGTTTAGATAGAATCGTGTTTCATACATTAATATAAAAGAGACTAGTTATTATATCCAACTAACCGGTACAAGGAATTGTCATAATTTTTTATATCTATTAGAAGAATATATATGAAGAATATTTACGTTTTTTGGAGTTAATATCCGATATATAATATTCGTGCTAATATTAAGTGTATCGTGTCAATTCGTGGTTCACATTTTTAGTGATTTTACATCTACTGCGCTAACCTCAATGAAAATTTGTGATGTTTTTTTTTATATCTCAGAATGCTACACAAGACTAAAGAGTCGTTGATGCTTGGATACGTAGAGATAGTATATCCCGACCATTAATCTTCGAACAAAAGTTACTCATGTCAAGAATTCGTAATGCCAGAATCAGAAGTCAGAGTCAGAAACGTGTTCATTGTCACGTGACACGTTGTATATGTCAGTGCCAGGTTCCTCAAGCTTTTTTGGCCAGAAATTCCCGAAACATTCTAGAGTGGAGATACATACCCACTCGTGGGTCATTAAACATAGATCATATGAGAAGATGCCCAAAGCAAACGACTGACAACACTCGACAAAAACAATCCATAAGACAAAAACAAAATAAAAAACGGACAAAGCACCACGCTACATAGTCAAATCAATAAGAGAAATAAATATGATCTTGTAGATGCACTAAGGGATGCCAGGTGCTTGAAAAAGAGGGAAATAATTTTAGAATAGAGCATTTTGTTTTCTGAAGCATTCTATGACCGAAACATTTCTGGCATTGTGACCCAGTTATAGCTATTCAAAACAACTACCTGTTTAATTTAGAAGATACGTTATTATTTTTAAAAACTTACCTTATGTGTTCAAGTGTGTAGTTGGACATCGCTTTGTTTGATCTTCTAATGTCCTTTTTCAGAAGGGCAGTGGACATTGTAAATGAATAAACCTCACTTTCACAAGGCGTGTGGCATGTATGTTTACATTCAAATGGCAGATACCCTTCGATATATTCATCTGAATTAAATTAAAAGACAATCATTGAGTTTTATTTCAAACATTATTCACAGTTATATGTTTTATGAAAACACACATTTTTACTAATGAACGTCCCAAAGCAATGTATCTATGGAGACGTTTAGATCTAGTAATTTGTGGTATAGCATTATTTCGTCGAGCAATAAATAAGACACGTTTTCTCATGTACAGACCGATCTGGGCATCACAAAAACAAAATGCATGAAAGTGAACACGTGACAAGTAGAAAGACTAGGTCAGGTCAGCAGCTGTTTCAGATACAGTACGTTTTCCATTACAGATACCACAGAATGGAAGATTGAATATCACGGGATGATTAAACGATGTTCTCACAGATTCTCATATTATAATGGCTATTGTATGTACAATATATGATTTGTAAAGTTTTGTCCCGTCTTTTTGATTGCCTCGATGTAGTCTGGTTATTATCCTCTGCCATTTTGTGATGTGATGCCTATATATTTGAACTAGCACCGAACGAGGATAAAACAAAATGGCGGATTTGATGACGAAGGCGGACAAACACGAACACCACAATGATTTAAAATATATTCACACCATCTACAGCTGATATCGCAAATAATGTAATTATGTGCTATGAATACGGAACTAGATTCGTGATTTTCTTACAATATGCCATAATCGCAAATGGACGCCAAAATCGAGAAGAGAACGAGAGAAATAAGTGATTTATTGTTATTATTAAAATAATGCTCCATTCTCCCCCAGTACAACATGTCCGCTTCCCCCTGGTCTACAGGAACAGAAGCACGAAACATGTCGCCTCGTTCTCTCGCTCTCATAGATATCTTAGCGGCCATTTGCTTCCACGATCTTTTGTGGAGTGGAAATTCATACATACCCAGTGTTTTATGCGCACAATTATGCACACGTTCCGCGGTGCATACTTGGTAGTCACCGGGCTGTTCCACCAACCGACATCCACAGTGTTTCAGCAGCAACTCCGTTTCGCATTCGATCCGACATGCTGACATGGAGTAGTGATCATAGTGCTCAGTTGGTAAAACAACCGGTTCACAATCACCATAAGGCTGCGAGAGTCTTGTTATCTGTACAATGAGATAAATTGTGTGTGATTTGTATTGCTAATTAAAAATCACTACTCATACTAGTGTATAGGTAGTGGTAGTGTAGTGGTAGTTTCGCCGCTGTGTCGAGATCTGCACTATAAAAAGAATCTGATTCATATTTTAGAAGCAACCAGTAGATGGGCCTACAATAAAACTGTAGATGAACCAAGTTCCTACGCAACATTAGCAGTTTTTAACCCAAAATGAAGGAATCATAAACATGGGTTTGGAGTGAGAACCACCGATACATAAAACTGAATCAGATCGTAAAAACACCCACATCACTCGGGAAGTCAAAAATATCCAATATTACCCATATACTCATAAGAAACAAATATACAACTTCCAAGACATATGTTGTAAATTACGTTTACCCAAATATCACTATAGGAATTTACTTAAAAATAAAACCAGGGACATTATCATAAATAAACAATTGTAAAACAATTTGAAAGAAGAAGATGATGGAAGGACAGTCAATACTATGAAAAGATACTTTCTCTCTTTGACACCAGGGCTATGTGCTGAGAGTATGATATATTTACCTTTTTGCGTGTTAAGGACATAAAATAATGGCTGCCAGCTCCTAAAGCAAATCCCAACTCTTTAACGTACGGGGGCTCTTGCCTCGAATGTATCATCAGTTTTAATCCAACGTTGATGGCTGAATCTTCTAAGTCAATTGTTGGCATATGCTCATGTGTATTAACATTAATAATAAGTCTCAAGCCATTATCTGGGGGGAAATAAAAAGCAATTACTGAGAACTATGAATAATAATAATAATAATAATAATAATAATAATAATAATAATAATAATAATACGTCAACACTTTATGTTTTGTGTTAGTTTCCCTGAATGATTCGAATTCAAGTTATCACCAACTTGTCACTGCAAAACAAATGCATTCATATATACATTTTCACCATCAATTCGTTTTTCCTCTTTGAAGATAGTTTCCTCATTTTCCGACATGTATATCATAAACTGATATATACAAATGAAGGTATACATTGTATTTAACCGTGCTGTTTCTTCCAGACTACCATGCGTTAACGTTTATTTACACTGAAAAAAGTTAATATACATTATGGTATTTGCAAAACAATGTTTTACCTGTGCCAGCTCTCTTCGAATGGTAATGATCAGTATCTGGATGGTACTTATTGAAAGCATAACAGCTACCATAATGCGTAAATACATGAGAGATGGCCTCCTCTTCGCATTCTCTACCATTCCATTGACACTAGTTGAACGTGTGAAAAAAAATGTTATTTAAATATATATATTGGTTTTCTCAACAACAAAAGTGTTCACATTCATACAATCCATTATATAGGCAATATGGAACTATCAAAATAACAAAGAACCCATGTCAGGTGTGAACCGCTTAATTAAAATGTCGCACTGTCACACTAATCAACGTACAACACACGACATGTATTTTGTTGTAGCGATACCTCTTGGTAATTGCCACATTGCGAAATTGATTTTCTTGCCAAGAGTGGCGCCAAGCGTCTTCCTGAATATATCTTAGTGGGGATTATGGATGACATAAGTGATAAATTACGCGATCTGTTTTCGGTAATTTTTCTCATCTGTCAGGGGCGCTTCGACATATGGTTAATTGCCCTTCCCTTTATCAAAACTACTCAAAATGTTATTGTGCAATGCGACATTACGTCACAGCAGATTGTATCTTTCGATGGGAAGATTAGATCGCATATTTTTTAATGCGGCATTCATATGCCAGAAAATAACTTCGCATCTCTGACTTTACCGGAAACGTGTACTTTCGGAATTTCTTCTGATTTATTTATCGGTATAAATACAAATAAAAACAAAATCAGATGAGCCGCTAATTTTAAAAAAGTGAGGTGAATTTATTGTTAAAAGACAATATTTTACTATGTTTTTTTTCAACCATTCGCAGTATCTATCAGTATTTATGTGATCAATAGGTCCCGATAGTATCCCAGCTGGATCCTGTCATGTTTTTTAAAACATGAAACATGGTTGTGTAAAAATGCACTGTATGGACAGTTAGAATTTTCACTTAAAGTAGTGGGGCATGTCAACAGTACCAATTGAACATTGGAAATACTTACTGCAAATAACAATATTACACTGAACAATAAAACACACTTAAATTATACAGAATTACAGATTGTCAATATTGTATGGGCTAAATTGTACGCATATGACAAAGTACGTGAGCAGTAAATCTGTCAAAAAGACCCTTATTCTACTTTAGCTTGTCGTGGAAACGAAATATCATGATAAAGATCCAGTCCGTTGAGATATGCTAAGACTACTTCAATTACAGCATTACAAAGTTATGCTAAATTTATGTATATATTTTTTATATGTTAATGAATACAAACTTGCATATTTTTTCCAAATTACTTGCACTGCACTACTCTCCCTATCTACCGAACTCTCGCTGTGTTATAGTTAATCATTGAGAAAATGATGTTGCCAAATTATGTAGAACTTGTTTAACCGCTCACAAATCCCATATATGATATACATCATGATTTTTAGGATCTATGCAAAAACTTAGTCTCAGAAATAGAAATGTCAAAACTCGAGAAGAAAATGATTACTCAAAGTACAGGAATTGTTTAGAGGTGAGAATGTCATGAAAACAGTCCCCCGGAAAATAAATAGCTTTTTAACATGTCTTTGAATCATGCCTTGAGCAAACGTCACACATTTCGTATTCATACCCAGAGAGCCCCCTCCCCCCATTGAGAACATGGATATGAATACAGCAAGGTCCAGCACGTCATTTTGACTATACAGTTTCTACGTGACAAATTGCTAACAGAATTGTTAATCAATTAGTCTGTGAATTTGATTAGATGAATTGGTGCATGTGTTTAAGTGAAAGCATCAATAATACTCCTGAATGGGAATATATGTTTGATTAAGTGGATACATGAGTCAATATCTTAATCAAGAAAAGAAAGACGTGTTATGAAATGAGGGGGATCAATGCATTTGATATACTAATCCTCAGAGATTAACTCTACAGAAACGCTTCGAGGATTTTTGTTATAATTGTTATCTGGATTTTTGATCAATTAAATCTGGCTCAAATATGATAATGTATAGCCTTATCAAAGATATGCGCAACAAATATGCACCAGTACTAGTGTATATTCTTTTTTATTGTACACCACGGTTTGACATCTATGTACTAGCCAATGCTCTTGTGAACACCTTTTTGTATATAGGTGGAAAAAAAATGTGCTAATTTATGTAGTTATATGTGGTTAATTCACTATATTCTCAGTGTTATTATTCTGCATCACCTTCAACGTTAAAACGGAGGGGTCCTCACCTACGCACACACGGGAATTGAGTCCCAAGCGACGATAAAAACGCACGCATAAGATCACGATTTCTTTGTTTCAGGTTCCTCGTGTAAAGGTATGTTCATATGCAAATAATTTTCTACGTAAAAACTACGAATGCGGTAGAATTTTATTATCGGTTGGCCAAATGTTAATGTCAAGGAATTGTTTGCCTCGACAGTTTGATCCCCCCTCCAGTTTGTAGGAAACTGAAATACACTTCATTCAGTTCCAGGTCATATTCGAAATGGCTTCCCCATATAGTAAATATCGGTAAATTAATCGCATTTATTTTTTTGTTATTTGTACGCCAGCCATTTGTACGCCAAGAAGTCATTAAATACAGATATATGATATTGTTTATGTAAAAGAAGATAAATATTAATAAACCTTAAAACAAATATTATCTCAATTTAGCTACACTAATTAATTGGAGTAGATTGCATAGTAACTAATTCCATTCATTTACGTCATTGCTTATAAATATGTCGGTATACGTATTTAGTTCTGAATATTCAATGGAATACGTATATTAAAAATCATCTTTTTGACAACTATACTAATTTTTCCAGTTTATTACAGAAAATCATTTTTCCGTCCCATCAGAAATAAATAAATAAATAATATTACGCATAACAAATTACATGGTAATACAAACAGCACGTATCACATGTATAAGACTATTAGACACTGTACCGTGTATAGACACTAGTTCGTCTCACATTTCACGGAATATAAATACGTTGTTCGGTTGTTGTCATTGAAATGCGACTAATGTTGGCATTTAAAGATATTAAAAAAAATGAATAATGTCATTGAACAATTCAGCTGTGTACACAATCGTTACATACAATATGATATTGTTAAACTATGTCAAAACTCATATATGTTCGAAATATACACGGACGGCGACGTCAGTACAGCTCTACTGTAAACATTTTGACTATTAATAGCCAGTAAAATAAATCAGTTCTTGACAAAGCGCTAAGTCGACTTATAGATCGCTTTGCACTTCAAGAATATTAGGGGTATGGGATATACTGTTTATGATGTAGTTGGAAACAACTAATGACACTTTTTACATGTCTGATACTAAAAAATAATAACAATAATAAAAAATATCAGTAATATTTTGGTTATTATTATAAAATATTTATTTGGTTTTCATAACATCAAACACAATGCAAATTAGTTGCTATTTTTAGTGAGCCTCTGGAAAGTTTAGTTAAACTACTAAGAAAGCCAGATACAGCGCAAGGCAAACATATATAGATCTGTAGATGGTATGTACTCACACCAGCCAAAGCCCTGATTGCTTGGACGATATCTTATTTGTTCACGCATGATTCATATATTTAAGAAACTTTGAACCAGAATCCAATCTGTTGGCCTAATAATGAAGGTTATAACAATATTGGTGGTGATAAGTACAACACGTTGTATTCAGTTATTGAATGAGGAGTTTCACTCTCTTACGAACAATGATTATGTCTGTTATTTGTATTTTTCTTACTTCACACAATGCATCAGTATCACGTGCATATCACGTGATTGTCTCCAAACTGACACTTACCTATATTACACCCTACATGTGTAATTAGGGCCGTTAATAAGTTTCGAAATTTCAAACATTTGATTGGGATAACAATTAACCCAGAATAATGAAATTAGAAAAAAAGTTTTTACCTAATAACTAATTGATCAATTGATTTAATAATTAACAGAGCATGTTAAAATCAGTTCCTCGCTGTCTAATAAATAAATGGAAGTGAGCAGGGGCCAATGCTGTTCCAGGTGAACTGTTACTGTCACTTATTATACCGGAGTATGTACTCACTCTATATGAATATTTTACGATTAGAAATACATTCGGAAGTCCACATGACATCACTACATAATCAATTATTCAAACGAAGAGTATGAATAACACATGATATGTAAATTAACAAATGCAATCCGTGTAGATATCTGGAACTTCATTTTATCATGCGTAACTAAAGTGGACAGCATTGATGAATAGCGTAGATTCAAAATTCAAACAGTTGCTGCTACCTTGTGGATTTTCAACAAAATTAGCTCTCTACAGTGGACTATTGTGTTCCTTTTTTTCTCTTCATTCATTTACTAACTAATACAAATAACAATAGCCCAAAAATATTCAAAAACATTTTTTATTTAATTTCAATGGACTAAACTTTTCTGAACATTTTATGTTGCTGGTCCTTGTTGGTCGTTTTTACGAGGTATGGGAGTCTAGTATCTGCAGATGCCCTCAGTGGTAGTTTATATTCGATTTTTAAAGCGCGGTAGTGTGCGACATTTGTGTTGATAAGCATCGATTTTCCCACAATCCAATGTGCTCTTATAATGGAAATCAGTATAGTGGGCGCTACTTGCACTGATTACCGCCGGTGACTCCTACGATACCTTCCAGTCACGTAAGAATTACCTAATTAAAGCTTGGAATCGTCTCACTTTGTACTTGTTGATCTGCCCAACAGTCAAAGTCGCTATCTTTGTTTATATATGAGTGCCCGGTAAAGGATTATATTGAATCAGTAAAAACATAATAATATTCAATGTAACTAACGTCCAATTAATAGTCGTATAATCGTTAGTTTAACATCTGTTATGAAAATAATTGGTTAACATTGACATAATGACGTGATTTTTTCTCCAAATACCAAGTGAATAAATATGAAAATATGGATACTGAATTTGGAATGTATTCTATGTACACACAATAGCTCAGAGTAGAGTATCAATGCTGCACTACAGCACTATAGAGGGCAGAATATAGGATACGTTTCCATTTAATTTTTGATCCAGTTCGTTTGAATCAACTAACAATAAGTAACTGAAAGCTCATGGAACACAAAAAGACAATATGATTGTGATGAGACAGATGTTGTTACAATTACAGTTATGAATGAATCAACACACTGTATACGGCGACTCGATAAATATGGTACATTTCAGCACCACTCTTTCTTCAAGTGCATATTTTTACAAGATGAAATACACGTATTTTAACGCATTTTGATACAAATGAATAATATTGATAAGCTTGTGTGTAAAAACTTAACCACAGTACAAACTGTAAGGCGATATAATTCGCTCTCTGTAACCAACATACTTAACTAATATATTACAAATCACTTGCCACTGCACCCGATCCTGTCCGAATCACGCTCTTCAAGCGCACTTGTGTCTACGAGTTCACGCCATTCAACAGTGTGACCCCGTCCGTATACACTGTGATATATACGGGAAATATCACACTTTTCGAAGGACTGACCCCATCGAATGTGTACGCCATGTTATACGGGAAATATCACACTTCTCAAAGGACTGACCCCATCCAATGTAAACCCCGATATACGGAAAATATCTCACTTTTCGACGGACTGACCCCATCCAAT